CTCTCCTGTGTCGTCGTCGCTCTCCATCAGGCAAACACTAGAGCATTCGCCAAAGTACATTGATAGTTCTAGAAACGTTGCGTCACAGTAGGCATGTGACTCGATGACGCAACAATATACACAAACATCGCCCTCAGTGACTCAGCAGTAGGTCTGGGAGATTTTAACGCTAAATTTGCGTTCCATACTCATGGTTGGCACAACACAGATAAACCATTGCTTAACTTTGTGCTTAACAACAAATAACAATATACGCAAATAAAAGTATAGTTATCGTTTTGAAACGCTGGGGAGAATAATTTTAATATTATTTTGCATTCCTTCATTAAGTGTATAGTAGTATTAAAAAGAATAAGGCATCGTGTAAATGTATGTCATAGCATAAATTTTATATTGAATGGTAAATAGAAAAATTATTAGTTTTCAAGTTCCAGTGAAAAATATCGATAATGATTAAATCAAAGAGAGGAAACGATTAGAGCGGCAGCTTTCTTCCCTTGAGGTAAATATTTGGAGAACTATCTATGTTGATAGCCAGGTAAAACTGAAATGAACTAAGACTCCTTACGAAACAGAAAATTTCGGTTCTTTTCTGTTACAATATGCGTTATCACTTGGCTTGGTTGATCGTTCTTGTACAATGGACATAGGCTATAACCTATAGATATCATCACTCGGCCAGCAAAGGACATTGCTGTCACCAATTTATTTAGACACAAAGAGTGATGTTGCAGTAACATCCTCACAGGCAAAATATATATTTTGTGTCAGAGAACAAGAAAGACAAAGCCAACTGGAATGAAACATTTTCATTGGTTTCCTGGACCACGTTTTAATGCTCAAACTGCATAGAAACACACTATTTTTTTTAATTCCTATAGCATTAAAAGATGGCGGAAAAACAAATGATATGTTCACATATCACAGCCATGAAACATTATCTTACTATATAGATTTTGTGAGTTTCTAAGAAACAACGGATTTTCGTCTAAGATACCAGAATTCGTCAAAAGATGGATCTGAAGTGTTATATTTACATGCCTCTAATTTTGAATCAGAAATTCGCAAGCTAAGGTGAATGTAAAAAAAAAAACATCGTAATTACCTGATTTTTATGACAGACTTTTAGTTTTGAATGGTTCGCCAGTTTTCAACACTTAACCCATAA